GCCTCCAACACACAGGTGAAGGCAGGTGTTTTCCAGGACCCCTGTGTGTAAGAAAAAAAAAAATATATATATATATATATATATATATATCTTTTGGCTGCCTGATGCTTTCTACAGACCACAGAGCTCTCAGATCAGTGATTTCTCCTTTGCCAACAAGGCCAAGGAATCTTGATGTTCCTTGTAGATAAGCCTTGCTATGGCATCCTTCACTTCAGCAAGATCATCTAGAGGCTTCTTCCATCAAGGAATGCCCCTCTGCATTGCACCTGATCAAAGGAGAAAAGGATGTGAAGTTCAGCAGCTGTCTATATGTTTAGAAGATGGGGAACAGCTTCCAGCAAACACTTACACTGTCACTGTAGACTTTGCACCTGAGAACAACCCCAAGCAGTGGCCATTAAACCTGTTCTGAGCTTCGGATAAATCTTACAAGTTGCCATGTGGATACAGGCCACATAAAAGGTGTAATAAGGCATGACCTGGAACCCACTGAAGGTATTTTCTATTCAATTCAGCATGCAGAAGCATAAGCTGCAAGGAAGCAGATACATTATAGGACTGGTTTTCCCCTTACTGAACAGGGCATCAACACAGTTGGATTAGAAGAGATAGCTGAAAGTTAGGAAAAGTTTGTTTAGTTATAAGTTAGAGCAGAAGAGGAGGTCACTTCTCTTTGATTCTATCTCCAACTGAAGGAGCAGGTCATATGCACAGTAATACAGGAAACAGCAACTTTTCTTGGTCCTTCTGACAAGGAAGTGATGTCTGGCAGGAGGTGGAGCTAACAGCCTGGGCTCCTGCTTCTGTTTTTGAGTTGCTATGACTGCACCCATATGCCTCAGTTTCATCTATCATGTTTCACTGGATGCAATATAGATCTTGTCAGAAGGGTTAGCTAGCATCTTTTAGATAAGATGCTTTTAGCAAGAAATGGCATATCTGGAACCAACCAAGTTGTACATGTATTTGGGCCAGTTTTTCTAGAATTTTAAAAGAATGAAGTTCTTCAACTTTTTAGAAGAAAGAAAAGAGGAAGAAGTGTCTTGAAAATGTTGGAGGGAGAGAAAAGCTAAGCTATTTCTCTAACCCCCCCCAAAAAAGAGTTTCCTCTGCACTTACCAGGGAGCCTAAAATTTTAAAGACAATGGTGTTTTTTTTTTCCTTCTGGTCAATGTAAAACAAGAACCATAACTACCAATGAATACAAAAGCCAGTAAAAGTGATGATACCAGAATAGATTCTCAATAAACACACTCTGAAGCTCCACAGCAAAGACTGCCACCAGAGAAAAATTGACTGTGGATTATATCTTTATGCTTCCCTTTTACCTTTTGATTGCAAAGCCAAAAATCATTCTCCCAGCTAAGATTCATTATATGACTTACACTCAAACTCACATTCATTCTATATTGTGTCGCTGGCAGAGGAGCCAGCTTCTGCACAGTGCTTTTCCCTTTGAAGGAAAAAAAAAAAAAGTGAAAGGTGTAATCACAGCAGAACATGTACTCATGTTATTCTTTAATCATTTAACAGAGTCATTACTTTACAAATACTGCTCCAGAGCAGTTAGCACTATCCCTTGGAAAGGGAGGGCCTGGTTTAGCTAGGACCAGGCTGGCAAATACAATGGGGCAGAGCTGAGAGTTGTAATCACGTTTGGTATCAATACTGTCAAAGAATTCCCTGAGAAGAAATGAAAGATTGCCATGGAGATAACTAGAACAGCAGAGTTTGAAACCTTTCAAGTTTCCAGGGGTTGTTTTGTGCTTTTGTTCCAGTTACATTTCATCACATTTAAACTGTGGGCTTAATAAAAACCAGCTCAGGATAAGAGATGGCCCATGTGCATAGAGGGGGAATCTGAATATCTGATCTGCCAAGAGCCAGCTTCTCTGCTGTGAGACACCTCCCTATTTGTTATTGATATTATTAGCCTCTGTTTTGTTAAAATACACAGCTAACATTGACACCTCCCTAGCTGGACTCCACACTGAAGATACAATTCTTGTTAATGATTGGGGAATCCAGATCAAAATTATTTTGTTTGTAAAGAGATCTCAGATGTCAGCTCAGCAATTTTTTCCCAATAGAATTAGATGAAATCTAAGTCATAAAATCCTAAGATAGATAACCCTCAAAGGGGTCTTCACCCATTCAGACCAAACACTCATAAGCCACTATTCAACAATAAGAAAAGGAGAGCTCTTAAATCTGCACCAGAGGCAAATCAGTCTTCTCATAGGATGAGCAGGGAGCTTAACTGCCACTCCAGAGACAAGCTCCTGTTATAAAATTTGGAGACAGCAGTTCTGTCACTCCTTCCCAACAGCTATAAATCCCATCCTACACTTACCTTGGCTGTATGTCTGATCCTTACTGTATTAGACCACAAACTCAGCACTCTCCTTTTAGCAGTGCTCTGAAAAAAACACAGGCATCTTTTATAATGAACCTACCTGCAGAATCAGTCCTCTGTGCAGGTGCTAATCCACAAGAAGCAAAAACACTTCCCACACCATCTTCTAACCTGTACTACACCAGGGCCTAGTAAATCCTGTCCATAATCAATGTCAAGATGGTTGAAGCTGTGAATACAGCTGATTTCCTTCAGCTTGTTAACACTGGAAGGCTGCCTATGAACAGAGCCAGCTGTGCTAATAAGGTGGGTTCACCACTAATTCCAAGGAAGCCACTTGAGTATGCAGTTTACAGATACATTGCCATGGTGCTTTGCCAAGGAAGTAAGAGCTGAAACTCCCACATTTAAGAAAAAAGAAGTGATGAAAGACACAGTAAAGTGCTCCACAGAACATGAGGCCTTTCCTTAAAGCTCAGGTGTAATTTTGTAGCTAATCACTCCCAACGCCTTTCCCAGTGGCCCAGGAATCTCTCGCTGACCATCTGCACACGCAATTACCTACTCAGTTTTTCATAATCTTTTACTAAATCACTGCTGGATTTGCAAAGGGGTCATCAGTCACCTGAGTTTCCTTTTTCTGCATCTTTTGCTTTGTATTAATTTGGCCAAGTAACATTTACCGAATAAGAGACGTGGTAAGGTTCAAGCACCATTTCATTCCACTGGGAGATATTTAATTACCCCCAACCTTTGCTCTGCCCAGAGCTGTACATGGGGCTGGGGTTCAGCTGGGCTGCAGTGGATGAACCAAGGGGCAGTGCATTGGAGCAGGCAGCTGCGGAGGGAGCAAGGGTGACCTGGGGAAAGGTTTTGCCCCTGCCACAGGGACTTGGGTGGGGGGAGAAGGGACACTGATAAAAGCCAGGTTTCAGCTGATGCATTAGAAACTCACAGCAAATTCCCACTGACATCATCAGAATTTGGATTATACCTCAGGGCTCTCCATGAGCAGTTCTACAAGCTAAGCCTCTAAAACCATTTCCCACCTCCAAACTGAAGGTGTTTCCCTCTGTGGAAGGAGGCCCAGCAAGGATTGTGCTGGTTTTACTGAATGTGCTGTGTAGTGTGAGGCCTGCCTTACATGACCCTGCTGTGCCCAGGGAGAACCAGCCCCCAGGAGGAGGCTGTACGCAATGTCTGCTCTTTGCATTGAATGCTGCACGTCCTCCAACACCCTCAGCCCCAGCACGGACTCTTCAGAGAAACCCTTGCTCCTTCCCCAGCACAGAGGTTGACCAATGATGGCACGTTACTCCTGTGGAGGCACCACAGGAGACAGCAGATTTCAGCCTGCCAAGCTGCTGCTCCCTGCCAAACCCAGTGGGCACTTTGCCATAGGTTCCTTGCAGAGAGTCCGAGCTGAAGGGGCTACACAGAAACGTCGCTGAAACTGGACACTTAAACTACATCTGAATGGTCTTCTAATGGGAAGCATTAAGCTGTTTGTATGTGAGGAAAAAAACATTAGAAACAAGTAATCATTTCATTTAGTTAGACATTTTTATTAAGAAAATTTTAAGTGCATACACATTTACCAGAGAAATTACAACAATATAAATGTGTTTATTTTCAAAATGTTCTATGAAAGGAGTAATTTCAAAAGCATAATATGACTCCTCCATAAAAGCTGCCTTACAGGAAAACAAATATAAAACCTTTTTTTCACATTATTTGGGAAGATATTTCTTTATACTTAATAAAAATATAAAATACAGTATACACCACATTCTGACAACACTGAGTCCTTAAGGAGTGGAAGATGGGAGGTTCATGCAGCCCTTTCATCATGATAAATATTTTCTTCTCCGTGGCCACCAGAGCTTCATGTTTGCAGGCAAGATTTGGCTTGGTGTGGAGTTGGTAGAGAAAAAATCCAGACTTTGGGTAATGAGTTCTCAGAAGCCCCTGGTTACTATAAATCACATCACTCAAAACAAGTTGCCAGAGAAAAGAAGGACCCTCTAGGTTATAACAAAGGGAAAACAGCAACAAAAACTTCTACTGGAACTGCATTTTCAACAAAATGTGTATATTTAACTTGGAATATAGCCTTCCTTGCAAAAGACAAATGAACAGTCATCCATGCTCAAACACATTAGTTAAAAATACATCAAAAAGTCACCTTCATCCTTCATCAGACAGAATTCAGATAAGATATTCATATATACAAGTACAAAGCTAGTTTAAATAAACAATTTTGGCACAGCAATAAATACCATCTATTCTTAAAAAAAAAAAAAAACTTAGGATTTGACAGCTGTAGTTTGGAAAATACCATATGTGACTATTTCACATCTATGGAAGCTGTTCTTTCAGCACTGGTTCAGTGTTATCTCTTTTTCCTCTTCCTGTTCACATGTGGCCCCTACATCCCTCCCATCTCCTCATCCTTCCTTTCCCTGATTTGTTCTTTGGTCAACAGATAAAAGCAGAAAGCAAAATCTAGTGCTCTCCCAAGCAGGTTTCTGTTAGTGCTGCATCACAACCTGTTAAGATCACAAGTGTGCACATGAAGAATAGAGCGTAATGTATAGAATAACGCAAGAAGCTTGAAGCAGCCTAGTGACTGATTTCTCTAGTGTGAAGGGCACAGCTGCTCTTGATGCAATGGTTCTCATGTAAATCACATTAGGCAGAAAGTGAAGCTTCCCGTTCAAGATTATAGTTTGTTCTAAAGCAAGAGAGAGCTTTTAGCAGGTTCTCACTTAAGTAGTCTTCAGTGACTCCTGGCCAGGCCTGCTCCACCCCCTGCATTTACATTGTACTTAAGCTTGCCCCAGGGGAGCTGTGCTCCGGGCAAGGAAGGCAAGTGGAATCAGCCCCTGGAAGCAGCCCCATTCACTGAGGGTGTCTTTGCCGTGTGCATAATGAATCTTCAGCAGCGCAAGAGTGTCAGGGCCCAGGCCACACCATGGGATTCTCAAGAAATGCCGGAGACAGAAGGCCCACAAGACACACAGACAATCATCACCTGTCTGTAAATGCGCCTTAGCTTTGCAGGGAGTCCTTTTCCTTCCTTCTGGGACTTAGGCACTTCTCCCAGCAGCAAATGCCCTTCTGTTAGCACAGTTTGCTGCTGAAACGCCCACTAGTCCGCCTCCAGAAGAGGAGGTTACCCCGTTTCCTGCACTGTCTCCACCATCTGGCTATACTGCCCAGAGCTGAGAGTCAGGGGTTTGGCCAGGGTGCTTCAGCACTGCCCATCTCAGTTCTTCCATCAAGGCAGTATGCTCACTCAGGCTGTGATGTGGGGATGTGCCCAGAGACCATTCCCTGCTGGTGCTGATCCCAGTGCACTCCCTGTTAGTGGGGACTAGAGTAGAATGCTGTCAAGACTGTCGCCCCATAAGGTCATCGTATTATATAGAGGTCTGAAATACAGTGAATTTGAGACAAGACAGGAATGGAAGGACATGAGATAGCCAGGGATATGCCCAAATGCAGGATCTTGCTTGGGTGCCCAAATATCATACCCAACACTGTGAGCTGTTCAAATAGTAAGCCTGAACTGGTGATTTCTCTTCTTTACTGTTACTTTTAAGGGAAAGCCAGTATTTCCCCTTAGAAATGAAATCTCCGTGGTCCCTATCGTCAGGAAGGTATGCTGCTGAATCAAAAACAGAGGATTATTTAATTCTCCATTGACTCCAACGGGAACGGATCAGACCTCAACCTGTTGTTGGATGTCAAGCACATGTCAAGAATGGGTGTGAGAAAGACAAGCTCCATGTCTGTATCAGAACCAAAATTCTTCCATCTTTCCCCAAAGTCATTCTTGGCTTTCACATTCACATGTCAGTCTCTTGGCAAACCATTAGCAGTTGCAGATGCTTGTGTGAGGACAGGAGATGGGCCCTAGGATATAAAGTGCAGTCCAGGGAAAGTCCAGGGAAGATGCAAAAGACTCTAGTTTTCTCATACAAGTTTTTTCGGCTTTTACCCCTATAACAGAGGTTCTGATCCTACTCCAATTGATATCAACAGTCAAATTCACCCCAGGTACAGTGGTACCAGACCTTTACAAAACAGAGATAAATGATAGCACCAGCTTGGTAATGATAACAATAGAGGGAAAGACAAACTCACACCCACATGTTTTAGGCATAGCACTTGGTTCCTACTTAAAAGCAAAAGAGGTGATGTGGTCTCAATTGAAGCACTCTGTGTAATAGCACCATTTTGCAGACAGGAAAATACTTACAAGATTGTTACCTGAATCCACATGGAAAATAAGGCAGTCCCTGGCTAGCCAAACCGGCTCTTTGGCATTAAAGATGCCTGCCACAAAAAGGAATGATTAGTGAAACATACTTTTTAAGTGTTCCTGACACAGGCTGCAAGTAAGAGGGAAGATTCCTTTTGAAGCAACACACCCAACAAAAACATACAATGTTAGACAGTTGCAGTTTTTGTTTTACAATACACACACACAGAGGCATACAAATATAAGTACTGCGCCGCACAAAGTTTGGACAATGTGTGCTTCCCCCAGATCTCAGTGCACAGCATAACATGACTATTGCAGTACTTCAGGTGTCTTTTTCCATAGGTTATACAACAAAGATATTTGCTTATACAGGTAAGAATTGGGAGACAGAAATTTCTGGCTGAGAGAGGGGGTTGGTGCAAGAAGTGGCATTTGTCCCTGGATGTACTTTGTGCAGGAAATTCTAGAAGATATATTGTTTCACATGCAAACAGAACCACTACTATTGGTGAACAGTTACCGTTTGCCTTCATTTCCACACCTAAGAAACACCACTCTTTTGGCAAAATGAGCAGACCCTCACTATTTTCTCTCTTGCCCCAGTATCTCTTTTCTCCAAAGACATGGCCAGACATCCTCTTTTGGATCTATGCAGAGCAATCAAAGATGTTACCACCCTCAGGTACTTGTGACTGTTCAGTAACAGAGGCTACAGCATTGCTGATGAAGGGTCATGTAAATGCTCCTCCATCTACGCTGGTGCAAAGCCAGCCAGGCTAGCTGAAACCACCTCCTGCCCATAGGTGGTAACAAACACCTGGTGCATGGCAGCATCTCTGACTGCTCCTGCAATATGCAACACGATCATATTGTTAGATCTTTAAAAATCCATTCATTCCTTTTGGTGCTAAAACTTGTCGTCAGAAACACAGGAACATAGGAAATGCCAGGTGACATCAGATCAGTATTGTGGCTCCTAACTAACTCAGCTGCTACAAATTAATGTACCAGCACCTTGCAAAGCAGATGTGTACTGACCCAACTGCCCTGTAGCTTTAGCCCTGTAGCCCTGAGTTTAATCCCTTAGTCAAAACACCTATAATAATTACCCATGATAATGTTGTCCACTTTTATCTATGTCTGATGCTTTTTAGAGCCTTCCTATGTTCTTGGCCTCAGTGACTTTTGGGGGCAAGGAGCTCCACCGCTACCTACACAACGTCATTGCACTGTACAGTTCATGTCCTTCTGTGTTTATATCTCCAGGAGACTTGCATGAACCAAAAGAAAGTTAAATAAAGCAGGATCTCTACATAGCAAAGGAAATAAAATATTATATAATAACATAGGGTTAGTTTAAATTCATATTTGCCCTCAGTGCTAGGTAATAAACCAACCTGTATAAAAAGATATTTTTCTCAATAACAAATACATCTTACTACATGAAAATAGCACTGTGAAAGCAAGCCAATTTGTGCAAAAAAAAAAAAAAAAAGGCTTGGAAATGCATGAAGCGTTGCTTTTGTGTTGCATGGTAACAGTGAAATGTATTCATTCCCTAATACTGGTTATCTGCTTTCTGGGTCCTACAGTAAGAAATCCTGTAGACGGCTTACAATGCTTGCCTCTTACATCTTGAACCTCCTGTTGATGAAAAACAGAGTGAAATACTATTTAGGTTTATTTTAGTTGAAAAAACCTTCGCCATCAGGCCTAGTCAAACAGCAAGTTTGTGTCTGGACTAACCGAAAGGCATTTCTTTCGCAGCCCCTCCAACCAGGATGTTCCAAACAGTTTGGGGGAAGTTCTCCACAAGGAGCTACTGGGACCCAGCAGGGCAAACCCAGTAATTGGGGTTATTTTTGGCAGGTTGTGCTGATCATAGTTAGTAAGGTGTTCAGAGCTAACATAGGAGAAAGGCTGGCTAGGAAGCTTATTCTGGACTTGAAAGCCAGAGCAGAGAAATATCAGTGGGCAACAAGACTCAGCAAAAAAACAGCAGGAAAAAGGAGGGATTAAAACATACCTGAGCAGCCTCAGGAGTGGAACGGGTGGCACTGGGAATGCCCCCTTCCTCCCCGAGAATGCCCCCTTCCCACCCACCCCCAGCTCTGCCGGAGAACATGGACTGCAGCACCCAGTCCTTGTGCTCCACAGGGGTCCACAAGGGTCCCCAGGTCTCGCTGCAGATGGAAGAACATAGAGGACAGCCCATGCTCTGCTCCTGTTGGTGTTCAGCTCCCAGGGTAGGGTAGCTGGAGAGCAGAGGCCTCTCTGAGTGTGCTGCCCTGCCAGGAACCACACCCATCACCTCCTAGCTCTTCTCTCCTGCTCTGCGCCCTCACATACCAAGAATGGCTGGTCAGCAGATCACAACTCATGGTGGCCAGCTGCCCAGGGAAGGTGAGGGTCACAGGGAGGGTGAGCAGCCCCGTGCTGCACAGTAAACACATGCAGCACAAGTGCAGAGGTGGGGAGCACAGGGCAGGAGGCAGATAAGTTGTGTCTCCCATGTTCAGTGTGAGCATAGTACCCAGGAAGAACAGTGGGTTAAGGATCACAGGACAGCACGGGTGTATCAAGGGTGCATATGTGTATGGGGTTCACTCAGAACAAGGAGCCAGCCTATGGTTACTTTGTATTGACAGCCCTCAGATTTCAGCTGAAGTGCCCCTATTCCTGCCCCAGACTGATCAGCCTTTTATGACTTAGGTGGAGACACTAAGGCTGAATTACAACTGTAAGATGGTAAACATCAGGTATTTGAAAACCCTGATGCCCAGCATGCCTTGTCTAGCCTACGGGATCCGAACACACATCCCTTTCACTGCCTGCTGAGCAACTTAGACTGTGGGACCAGAGTCAGAGACAGCTATGGCTACTCTCCATGAGGGTAGCCTCAGACAAATCATCCAGAAATACAGAGGCATAACTAAACCATGAGCAAAATTCTCCTCTTTGAAGAGACAGAGGGCTACCAAATCTTTACCCTGCTTTTAACTTTGGCTTTGCTTCAGGGCTATTTTGGCCTCTTTGGGTCTGTTTCCCCAGCTGTAAAACAAGATGACAGACTTTAGCCAGCATCTCTATAAGGAAGACTGCAAGAATGAAGCAGCCCGTGCCCAGACTTTGCTGACAAAACAAAGCATGGGGAAAGTGCTCAGATACATCTGGGAAATGAGAAGTGGATAAAACACACTATCCTGAATGTGCCTTTTACCAGCTCTCTCCATGCCCTGGTCTCCACGTGGAGGAAATGCAGCAGTACAGATTGGACAGGAATCAATAGGCTCTGTTCTACTTATCACTGGCAACTTAGTGAGAAACACTCAGACTTTTTGCTGCATTCTTTGCATCTCTTAGAGAACTGAAATATGCACTGCCATTATAGCGTGGTCACTTTGACAGAACAATGATTCAGGGATCTCAGTTTCCCCCATATTACAGCGATTGGGCTAAATTTATCCCTGGTGAAACAAAACTGAAATCAACACTTCAGATTTGCACTGAGGTTTAAAGATGTTCTGTCCCCTTCACCCCACCTCTGTTGTGACTGAACTTTCCCCCTGCTTTGAGAGGTTTATCTTCATAACACCCATTTGGAGGGAGGATACAGTTGTTATCCTCAACAAACACAGGGGAAAATGGAGGCCCAGACAGGCTAAGAGATTTGCCCAAGGTCACACAGGATGTGTCTGTGGAAGAACAGGGAATTCAACCTGGGTTCTCCCATCTCAGAAACTAGTGCCTCCTACCATTTTTTCTCCCTGGAGACTTTAGTGGTGTTGCACGGGAAGGGCAGAGTAGGCCCCGTTTCTTCTGTTGCTTTTTTTTATGAGTGCGATGACGTGGTCTAAATTAAAAGAAAAATACAAAGAGACTGCCATAAATTATCCATATACAAAGGTCTTATTCACATTTATCCTAGGGTTCCTTCAAATCTCTCTAGCAGGGCACAAATGAAGATAACATCCCCAGTCAGGCACCCCCTGCCTCGAACGGACACTGAGCAAATGAGAGTGTCCTGGTGACAGTTCACTTGCACATTGTCAATCCATTTTTTCCCCCAAATACTTAGGCCTCCCAAACGCCTGCCAGAACTTGCAAGCCAGGAGCCTCACCATGCACATGACGTCCACTGAGACAAAATGAAAGCAGAGGGGAGCTGAATTTCTGGCTTCCCTCCAACCATTCCCTTTGACATCAAAAAGGGCCTGTAGTTATTCTATGGGTTCTGTGGACATCTGGAGTCTTAAAATGAGGCTGTGAAGATGTTTGCCCACATTGTGTCCCACTGTGCAAAGCATGCACCCAACACATGCTTGCTGGAGTACCGGTAGACTGGTTTTTGATGTCTTGTAATTCAGTCATTATTTACAAATGAGGTCAATAACTACAGAAGAGCTGCCACACCTGGATTTACAAGCACTACAGATGAAGGCAGCAGCAGGCCTTGGCTTCCATTGCAGCCAGCCCCTGAAAGCTGGAGTTTCCTTTCCTCTGTCCCAGAGGGCTCAGGGAAAAGCTTTTTCCTATTTGACTGTGTTATCTTCTCCAGATCCATCAGCTCTCTTGTCTGTGCCAGAAGTAACAGCTGAGCTTAATGGATTCCAACATCTTGGGCTGAGGGGAAAGTTTAGAGTTGGGACCATGTTAATGTGACAATGGACAAGCAAGGATCATTCTCTGATGTCTGTTTACTTTGGGCTCTGTTAACTCCATGAGGGTCCGATTTTGCAAATGCTTGTGTGAAGGGAGAAGGGAAAGGCAGTCAAGGCTGGACTTTACATGACAACTGGGATTGCTTGGAAGTGGTAAAGGGTTTTTTAGCAGTTTCAAGAAAGGATTGATTTGCCCCTTTTCTGTAAAATGGATGAGTGCTGAAAGATGGTGGCCACAGCAGCTGCACAATGATTTTTAAAGCCATTTAATGAATTTGGATTCCTGATAGCCTGAATGTATTTTGCTGATGTCTCATAAGTATGCATATTACATGGAAATGTGATGAATATTAAGCAATAACAAAGGCTAAGCAGAATTAATGAGCAAAATAATTCTTATTAAAACCATCTCTGGTTTCACAGTCAACTGTATTGGACTACTATATTCTATGAACTTTTCCTTGCCCATAGCTGCAGATTATAACATAAAAGATACCCTCTTATTGAAACACAGGTATAAATTAGGATATCTGGACACTGGGTTTTTACTTAAGCAATTACAAGAGCCCTTTCTACAAAACGTATTAATTTTATTCCAGAAAAATAAATTCCCATGTACAATTGGGTTTTCATAACATGAAACAATTAGCCATTTTATTGCTAGTGCATATAGGGTAATGTCACATTTCATACAATTTCAGTACAAGTGAAAAAATATAATATATGGCTGATTGAAATTGATAGCTACATTAACATTTATAGATCTATATAGATTTATTTTACAAGCTGTTAGTAGTTTAGAGGGATATGGGTGCTTTAAACTACCAACATTCATATGGCTCCAATTCAAATATATGAATTGTTTGATGCACTATAAATATATTCAAAAGTACATTTCATTGAAGAAGTCAAAGCTGTGCACTAAAATATATGAAAAACATGCCTTGTGAAAATGCCACAGACATAGCCCTTACTGTCTATGGAGCATGAAAATGCTGTTTGTGCTAGCATTACTGGTTGGAAAAATTAGAATAATACCATGATTACAGGATTAGCTGATAGAGATGTATGTTTTTTGTCTTCTTATTTAATAGAGCTTGGACCAAATTCTCCTCTGTTACCCAGTGTAAACCTGGATGAAATCCACTGAATTAGCAGAATTGCTTCTGAGTTACAGTTAGGTAAACAAAAGCCAGAATCTGGCTGGAGATCAGGTGCAGGCTCACTGGTTTCAATAGAGCTGGCCCCAGATCTTCACCAGTGAAAGTGAGAGCAGTATGTGTCCCAGCTGGGTTGATCCCCTAAGTCAGGCAGGCAGGATCTGAGCACACAATCACATTTACCCAACCCTGCAGATTTCTTAACCACTTCCTAAGTTTCAAGTCTGATTATCAGTGCCTACCGCTTCACTGGGGCTGATAGTAAGCAGAAACTTAGGCAGGGGCTTGATGATTTTCCCAAGCTGGGAAACAAAGTAGCCCAAGGCCCTAGGATCATCAGCATGGGCCACATCCTGCTCTTAGGTACAATTGTGCCTAAATCCAAAGTCATCCTGGCCACATGAAGCTGGATTACCTCTGTAGAGAATTTGCCTGAAGGACAACAGGGCTGAGTGCTGGCAGCAAAGAAGGCACTGAGCATCAGATGAGATGGAAAGAGCTGGCAGGGTTGGAATCGCAGTCAGCTTGTTAGGTGGTTTCCTTCCCTCCTCATCCTCACTCGTAAACCCAACATAGTCCCAAAAGGGGCAGAGAGAGAGAACTGTTTGCCCCAGTAGCATTTCTCCCCTTGCTTATTGTAAAACCAGAGGGGGAAAAAGACTTCTTTTTCCCCTGTACCCCTTTCCCCACAGTGGGGGGGCATTCAACTACCTGTGCTGCCTCACATCTGCCCTGGGGCCACACTCTTCCCTGCATTTTTCCAAGAAATTCCTTATTCCTTCTGCAAACGACTTGATTCCAACCCTGCCTTCAACCCCACAAACAGAGGCAGCAGGAGCAAGGTTCAGCACGGTTACTGAGGTGTGGGAATGTTGTGGGAAAGGCAGGAAGGATTCTGAGTGCACAGGTGGGCTTTCTGGCAGAAATGCCGCTGCTGGATCAACCCAAGACGAGGGTGCTGGGCAAGCAAGGAACTGCTTTGCCCCATCACTTGTCTCAACTTCCATCCCAGGAAGGCTGGAGCCCTCTGCACCAGCTCAGCACAGAAATGTTCTCTGTGCTGCTCTTTGCTAACAATACAATTCAACAGAGAGAGGCTGAGACCACCTCAGGACAGCCATGATCAGCCACTTGCAAGAGAGAGAAAAGTAGATGAAAAAAGCCTCCCTATTTGCCAGGCTGGTTTTCCCCTAGCCTTGTGGGAGAGCCTGATTCACGGCAGCGCATCTTGCTTTGGCAGATATTAATAGCACTCCACACTGGACCGCAGAGAAACAACTTTTACTGTAAAGATCCTCTAGGCTTAGCTACCTGTGCAAACAGACTCCCAGTGTAATATGGAGAAGGGGCTCCAAAGAAACTGGAACAATATAAATTTTGAAGCAATTGTGGTTTGGCTTGGGGAAAAGAGGGCATAAAGGAAGTATTTTCCTTGGGAGAACAGCTCTTTTAAAAAGAGGATGAGTTGGGGACCCCATAACAGATTCATTAGGATAGCTTTTGCCTCAAATCCTGGCAAAACTCTTAGTTTAACATTTAGGATATACTAGTAGCTGATGTTTTAATACAGCCCATCCTCAAAACAATATCTGATTCCACAAGTACTTGTCCACATGGTTAAAGCCAGCCCTTAATGTTCTACCCTTTAATAACTCAGGATGCGTTAGCTGTTAAGTCCATTTGTCTCTTGCCTTACTTGTTTAAAGCTTTCTCCAGATATTCCTGGATCCACTTTAACTTGGGATCAATGCACACTTGCTTGCTGTTGTTCTTGAGCCTTGCACTGCCAAAGGAGAAGAGTCAGAGTGAGTCTAGTGTGCAACACTCCTCAGCCCGCATCCCCCAGCCTTATTCGGCACACAGGTTTGCCACGTGTAATTCTACTATGGACAATGGTGCTGTGTCCGATTTCCCTGGATGTTGGTGTTGCTCTCAGACAAGCCATGAAGAGGCTAGGATATCTATTCTGTCCTCCAGAGATTTAATATGAATCTTCCTAGGTTTGAAAGACGGATGCAGTTTGTCCCCTCTGATGCTGATTCCTGGGGTCTGCACTGGGATTCTTGGGGTGAAAAGATGAAGAACTTGAATCTGAGTTTTCCAGTTTACATCTACTAGTTCAGTAGACTGCAGTCAGGAAGAGAACTGGAAGTACCATAGTGCCAGAGGCAAGTTTTTCCTCTTATTTCCAATCAGTACTAGAAACAAAAGCAGAAACCTCCTGAGGGGTTTCTCCGTTTTCCTGGATGTCCAAGCTGTACTTTCCAAAATAGAAATTTCAGCTAATTTGAATATGTTGCAGAGAAGGAGACAAATATCCAGACACCTATCTGAAGCAAATTCCCCTGATAGCCCAGGGTTTGAGTTATCTGCCTGTTTCAGACACAAGCAGTACAAATAGCTCTTCACTGATGTCAGCGATCTCACCCTTCAGGGATCTCAGGACTTCTTAAGAGTGCTGTGATCTCTCACTTCCCCCTAAGTACACTGCCTCTTCCTCAGATGCTTAGAAATTTCCCCTTAAGCAGCCTGCCATGCAAAAGTGCCAAGAACAGCAATTTCAGGGAAATGTCCATAGGAGTAAGTTCAGCACTTGCTTAAGTACTTTGCTGGATGGGAACCAAGTGTTCCCTACTTCTTAAAAAGAAATCCACAGAGCACAATATGGAGTAAGAAGTAACAGGTCAAAAAGGCTCCTTGCTCTGAAGTTATGCAACAACATAGTTGTAATATAAACACATAGAAGATCCAGTCCTGCAAGTCCTGCGCCAATAAAATAATGAATGGGCCTAAGTCATATTTCCCTTACAGCAGTGCCAATCTGGAGTATTTCCAGTGAAGTGATGCCAACAGAAAGTGAGAATGGATTTGCTGATGTTAGCAATGCCTGGGAACTATTAAGCTGGCCGAACAGAGTACGGAACCGAAAGCACATGTAACCACCCTCCAGTTACATGCAGTGGAATTCCTCTCACTTAACACTAAGACATGGATTTTGTAGACATTTATTTCTGAGCCAGTCAGCCCATGCCCCTTTTACAGTCACTGGAGAGAACCAGGTATTTGTAAGGAGTGTTCATGTCTACTTGAGAATGTAATTAACTGAGTGCTAAAAATGCTTATTTGCCTGCATTGAAACCAAGAAATTTAGGATGGGCTTGGTAGAAGCAGACATCCACAAAAGAGATTTCTGGATTTGGAGAGATGACTCCCCATAGAGTTGATGACAAAGGTCTATTCTTAGGCTCTTTGTTCAGGTAAAATTCCCTTCAACTATAAAGGGAAATGTACTTGAGCAAAACCTGCAAGATCTTTCCTTGAACCTATAGGGTTTCAGTGAGATTCTTTATTCCTGAAAATGGTGGATTCTCCCAGTAGCTTTTAAGTGACTCACACCTTCAGTGTCTAATGCATACCCACTGAATTCAGAGTGCGGCTAAAACCACCAAGAAGAGACTCTCATATGTTAGTTTTTAGTCCATTTCAACTTCTGTTTTTATAAAGACCCACTTCCAACTTGTGGTGTCTCACAGGCATTTGGAGGTAAGCTTTTGTTTTAGGTACCTTTCTTTTTTAAATACCAAAATGATGGTGAACTATAGGTCTGTGTGTTCTGAGTATCATTAAATCACACTGCAGACCATTGGATCAGGAATGGGTGAGAACAGGGGTTGTTTCTGTTTCTGTACTTTGTGCTCTTATCCATCTCTAATGACTGTAATCCCACATTAATCAAGAGAAAAATGCATACTGTATCCCATCTTAAATGCATGACATTTTCTTGAAATACTCCAGATAATTCTAAATCCTCTGCAAGGCCTTAGCACTGGGACCTTTATGACATCCATTGACAGTCCCAGAAGAGCATAAATCCATATACTCTTTTCCTTTTGGATGCTTGCCTCCAAAACATATAGGTAGAGATCAGAGCTAGTCACAGCTGGTTTTGCCATTTTGCTAAAAGAAATTATTTCTCAACTGGGGCTTACATTTTTTCTCACTGTCCTCCATCAAATCCTAAGGCAGAGGCACACATGAGAGTATGTGTGTGCTCTATCCAGAGTGGTTTAAAAAAAAGAAGGACTTCATATGAATAAACACTTGTTCATGAATGGATACATGCCCATCAATAACTCTGTACATTCCTGAGAAATCTTATGAAACCACACCAGTTTTCCAAATGCAAAAATGTTTTGGATGACAAAGGATAGATGTTTACAGCATTTATACTGGAATTGGAAGAGCGCAACAGATCCGAGACAGAACTAGTGATGGGAGCACTGCACAGACACCCAGACACCCAATGTAGTCACTGAGACCCTCTCACAGAGGTCAATAGGAGCTGCTAGTACTGGAGCTCCCTCACAATGAAAAGATGAATGCTAGTTTTTTTTTTCTCTGAAGATTTTGAATTTTGTGAGGGGAGGAAGGGGGTCACCCATAAACAAATGAACCAAAAAGGCTTCCCTAAACCACAAAAAAAACTCCAACCCAACAACCTCATTCTTCCTAAAAATTTGTGTTTCTTTTTGAGCAAAACAGGACATGGGGTCACATAATCATGGAGGTAGCTACAGCTAGAAAACATTTAGCTGGGCTCCTTTGTGTGGGGTAAAGAAGAGCCTAGCTGCATCTAGCTCATGGAGTGAAGGGGTGAACTGGACATCACTGCATGAGCCAGAGACCTTAGCTGTAGCAATGAGAAGGGGTAACCCCTGAAGCAGCAACCAGCTCTGTGACGCTGAGATTTGCGCCCAGCTGAAAAGATTTAAGAGACTTACACAATCTGAAGTGAGCAGTTGGGTGTGGAGAGGATTTTGAGGTGCTTAATGTTAGCTCTTGCCACGTTGCTCTCATAGAATCGACAGGGACATCGGTAAGTCAGGCTGACGGGTTTCTCTGTGGGACACAGCAAGAAAAAGGACATGTTATTCCCTCTCACTCCCTGTGAGCAGCACAGATGCACAGATCAGGGCTGATAGAAACTCTTCTCCAGCCCTCCAAACATGCAGGTGAAAAAAGCAATAGAAAAGTTGTAGCTTTGGAAGAGCATTTGCCCACAGCTCACAGTACAATCCTCTTGCCCCAGTCCCCAGTCTTTTAATCCTGGTGCGTGGGATTTTGGAAGACAAAAGAAAGAGAAGAGAAATTGGAGATAAGCAAAGAAGAAGAGATTAGAGTAAGGAGCCACTCCATTGTACAGGGATACTCCTGGTAATTAGACAAGATAAAGGCCAAAAGAGGGGGGCACTTGTCCTCAGTGTTGTTCTTGCCAAATGATTTTGACCCGAGGCCAAATTAGAAGGTAGCCAGAAGAAAGCAATGAATTCCAAAGAGTACAGATCAAAACAGCTCGGCTCAGGTGCAGGCTTTTCACAGGGGACTTACTGGCTACAGAAAAGCCCTGAGTCTTTCAGGCTTTCCCAGGGCCCAGCAACTGACCTTTTCCACTACAGCCAACCTTTACTCTCAGCGGAGCTATTCGCACAAGGAGGTGTAACTCAGCAATGCAAGATCACAGTGGTTTTAAAGAAGAGATCTGGAGTCTTTTGAACTCCCAGCCTATGCCGAAGTAACAGCAATTCAAGGAGACAGTTATCAGGCAGTGTGCTCTCCACAAACTAATCAGGGACCACCAGACTGGATGAAAATCTTATCGCTGGCATCCCTGGGGACTGGATTAAATTTAGCCCCCTAGGTTAAAAAGCAGCAATGTGTATATATACAGCACTGAGAAAAGCAGCCTGGCTCTCATCACAGCATCTGATGCAGTCCCTTCTCTGCCTGATTTCTCCATGTAAGGACTGAATTACCAATAACCAAATGTATATAAATAAAGTCCTTACGCTGTGTAGAAGCTTTAAAGCCCCATGCACACTGGAACACAAACAGAGAAGCCATGCCTGGAAGTCTGGAAAGAGGTGCCTAAGATTTCAAACCGTTTCCCCTTGGAGCAGTTTTCAGCCTCAGAGGGCAATGAAATTCATAGAAAGGGACCTAACCCACAAGATCTAATTCATGCTGCAGATGGTTAGATCCATATCTGACAGGGCTTTGGATCCATCATGGCAAACTGCAGCCATGCTTATTTAGCTACACGGGAGTGTTCACAGCATCCAGACCAAACTCCCTTAAAGGCAGACGGACAGCTTTAGAGCAGGGAAGGGCCTGGAATCCTTGTACTGCTGTCTAGGAGGGTGAGAAAAGAGACAGCTTTTCAAAGTGCAGCTGATCTGCACCTATTACACATTTACCAATGCTCTTTCTAGCAAACACAGCCACAGGCAATGCAGTGAAGTTACCCTCTCCTCAGGAGGGCGAATCTTTTTTTTCCTGAGCATCTCATATTACAAGCAATGAGCCAGAGTCTGATCCTACTGGCAAATATGCAAACTCAGAGGAATTTATTAACGTAAGCAGGGTTCCTCCAGATTCACACCAAGGCTCAGAATCTGAACAAGAAGTTAACAAAATTCGAGGACTTTTCCCCTCAGTGTTCATGGCAATCAGTCACTCTGAACAGTGATATCATCTATACGTTAAAAAATGGGCGAATTTGATATAGGGTAGGGGAAGGGAGGACTGCAAGGTTGCCACATCATTCAGTGTGAGCCATGTGAACTTGCACCATACTGACTAGTGCTAATCTGGCAGTAGCTATTAGACTAGTAGCTAGTAATACTATAGACTAGTGCAAATGTGCCTGATAACTATGGATCAGTGGGTTTATATAGGAAAGGGAGGCTGAAATTGAATGCAACTGTTTAACAACGCTCAGCACAGCTGCAAAGGAAGCGCCTCTGCAAGCTTGTACTAACAAAGTAAGTTTAAGCAAGCTTTACTCTAAACAATGTGTAAGGGATGAACTGTTCAGATTTGTGATTTGAGAATGCAATTCTATCCTCTGTGAGACTGAGAGAGGCAGTTTTGATCCCATACCACTTGAAATCGGGAGCAGGGAGTGTTTATCCATCACTAAAAGTGTCCATAAGTCCCGAGGTTGCTTCCCAGCCAGCAAAGCACACCCAGCACGGAGAGGATGAGGGGATGTCCCAGCATTTGGTGTCCTTCTGTCACCCCAATGTGAGGTGACAACTCCTCTCCCAGCATAAGAATCCCTTTGGTGTTTCTGTGTTCCTTGGTTGGTGATCAGGAGCAGAGCACCAGGAAGCAGGCAGCATGTGCATCGGATCAGCTCTCAGCGTCATTAGCAGGGAACTAGCACCTCCCGCCACTGCTCCTCTAGTGCTCTGGCTTTGAGAGCTTGGCTGTGGCTCACTCTGCTCTCAGTGAGCTCTTGCCAGGGAGATCTAGTGCATATGGGATTCCCCACCAGAAGAACCCCTATCATTCTCAAGTAGGGGAAAATTTGGGAAGGGGGCATTGCTGGTCTCATCTCAAGGCTGATAAACGTGTCTTCCTAATCTCATTTCAAAATTTGGAACAAGTTCAGTGCACAGTAGAGTCAATGAAGCCAGTTATTCTACGGGTTTGCATTGCGAGAGTGAGTACTCTGTGGGTTCTCTGATGTCCAATAGCTGTTGAGCACACACTGAGGCCATTTCCTCCACAAGACACGTTAGTATGACCTGTTACTTGTACTGCTACATGAAAACTGCTGTTTTAATGAAGCTGATGGTACACAAGTCTTTGAGACCTTTATCTGTCCGGTACGCTTGGTTGAAATAGGTGACTCAGTTACAGAAGAAGTTACAGTTCAGCCTCACTTCCTTAGACAAAGAAAAAAAGAAATACTTCTTTTGGTCCTGGCTAGATTTTTTTTAGAAGAGTTTGACTGTTTTCACACCCAAAGATGAGTTTTGCTGGCTATAAACTCCCACTTCTGCTGGGAAATGCTCACTAGAGACATCGCACTCACAGAAATCTCCATTGCAGGGTCCCTAGGCAATACTCAGCTTATCAAGGGTGGACAGTCCCTATTTCACCCTGCAGGAAACTGCCTTGCCTCAACACGAGTTGTCAGCTCTGCACTGAAGTTACCGTACGTAACTAGCTGTGCAGGCTGGGGAGCTCTGGACAATTGAAAAGAAAGGGAAGCTATGTCCAGGCAAGCAGGCTGGGCATGAACAAGAGGTGCATCTGTCATTATCTGAAGAGGGTGTTGAGCACTCATAGTTTGGCAGCTTAAGACTGAACAGCTCCATTTCCCTAGTGAGTAAGGCTGTGATGGGCAGATACAGCTTTTCCAGGATGGCTAAGAGGAATCCACAGCTTTCCTCCTCTACAGGACAGGTAGCCCTTCAACTGCTTATCTGGAGCAGGGCTGTGAACACTACATGACATGCACAGAAGCAAGGAAAAAGGCCTCTTACTAATGCAAGTCTGTGTGGTCTCTCTCTATACATGAGTTTATCTCCAACCGTTTTAAGCCGTTCACTTACTGAAGTAGGCAGGCCTTGACACACTTACCCTGCCATAAAAATACCCCCTGCTGCTTGCAACCAGCTAAGGAGCCCTGCCTGGGCAGCTCTGCCAGCCCCTCGGCCCTGTGCTGAGCGCTGCCAGAGGGGACGAGGAGAAGCGAGGTTGCTGCTGTTCACAGGGCCCAGAGGCCCCCACCGGCCCCCCGCACTGCATTACTCCCGACTCTGGTGGTCTGCACCCTTGCCGGGGGCTTCAGCCTCTCTTAGGGCCAGCAGCACTCCCCCTGCTCGCTCCAGCCCCAGACACCCTGCTGCTGACACTGTGCATAGGAATTGCAGGGCGCCTAGCCCCGGGCTGTGCTGGGGAGCCCCAGCAGCGGGCAGGTGTGCACAGCTCTAGCCTGGGGTGCTCGTGCTGCCTGGCTGCTGTGTGGAGGGGAAGGAGTTCTTGGGGAGGAGGGGAAGGATTCGGGAGCGAGGCGGGGGTCTGGCTTTGCAGAACAGTGTGCAGGATCCCCCTCTGTGCTCAGGGACCGTGGATGTGACCCTGTCCCCGGGAGGCACCTTGCGCCGGCTGCAGCCCACCACGCTGTGGGGCCCGCAGGAGGCCCCTCTGCTCCGCTCCGTGCACCCCTGCACTCGGCCGTCGGCCGGTGGAAATCAAACACCCGCTGCAGCGTTTCATGCGGGGAGCGTGGCTTTTTTTTTACCAGCGTAAAGTGGCGGGGCCAAACCTGCTGGCCAGATTTGGTTGCCTGCTTCTCTTTCGGGGTTTGTGTGTATTCAGTGCTGACTTTTTGTTCGTTTTCTCTGGGAAGAGGTTATTTCTGGGACAGTAGTGTGAAAAGAATCGGCGAAATTATCATGAGCAATTAACTCTCAGTCTAAACAAAAGGAGCACCGGGAGAGGGATCCTTCCCCTCCTTGGGTGGGGAACACCCAAGTTTCGGTCTCCAGAACGGGAGAATAAAATGGGAGCGGAGGTTTGAAAGGGCGCTCGTTACCTAGCCAGAAAGCTTTCGATGAAGGGACAAAAAGCGGCGGATCTCTGCGAGGAGAAGCCAGCTTGGAGGTGAGC